ACATAAATTTTTTTTTTTTTTTTTTTTTTTTTTTGGAGACAGAGTTTCGCTCTTGTTATCCAGGCTGGAGTGCAATGGCGCAATCTCGGCTCACCGCAACCTCCGCCTCCTGGGTTCAGGCAATTCTCCTGCCTCAGCCTCCTGAGTAGCTGGGATTACAGGCACGCGCCACCACGCCCAGCTAATTTTTTGTATTTTTAGTAGAGATGGGGTTTCACCGTGTTGACCAGGATGGTCTAGATCTCTTGACCTCGTGATCCACCCGCCTCGGCCTCCCAAAGTGCTGGGATTACAGGCGTGAGCCACCGCACCCGGCGGATAACATAAATTTTTAATAAAAGGATCTGTGAAGTCACAGAAGGACACTTACACTGCAATTACACAGTGATACTTCTTACACTGTCCCTTTAGTTAAGGCTCCAGTTTCCCCAAATTACCCCGATAATGGCATCTGTTGCCACATCTCTCCCTCAGTCCAGTTCCTTCCCCTATCCTGCAGCCGCCCTCTAGTCAAATTAGCTCTTTCTCCTCTCCTATCCCATTTCTCCAATCTCTTCTGCTGCTAATTCCAACTGAGAGGGTATCATCCAATCATAACTCCTAAAACCCTCAGTAGAGTCCAAATTCCATAATATGCTCCACTAGGCCTTACTCGCCCCAGCCTCAGCTCCTTCTTTCTTCCCTAAGTGAACTCCTTGCCCCAGTCAGTCACACTGGTAGGGACTTCCCCTGGTCTGCCACTCTCTCTCTCCTATTTGGGTGATCTCTCGTGGTGGTTTTTTTTTTTTTTTTTTTTTCAGACGGAGTCTCACACTGTCACCCAGGCTGTAGTGCAGTTGCGCTATCTCGGCTCACTGCAATCTCCGCCTCCTGGGTTCAAGCAATTCTCCTGCCTCAGCCTCCCGAGTAGCTGGGACTACAGATGTGCGCCACCATGCCCAGCTAATTTTTTTGTATTTTTAGTAGAGACGGGGTTTTACCATGTTGGCCAGGATGGTCTTGATCTCCTGACCTTGTGATCTACCTACCTCAGCCTCCCAAAGTGCTAGGATTACAGGCATGAGCCACCATGCCTGGCCCATGGTGGCCTTTTTTATGTTTTGAGACAGAGTCTTGCTCTGTTGCCCAGGCTGGAGTGCAGTGGTGCAATCATGGCTAAATACAGCTTCAACCTCCCAGGCTCAAGCAATCCTCCCACCTCAGCCTCTTAATAGCTGGGACCATCGGATGCAGTGGCTCATGCCTGTAATCCCAGCACTTTGGGAGGCCAAGATGGGTGGATCACTTGAGCTCAGGAGTTCGAGATCAAGTAGCTGAGACCACAGGTACTCTACCATGCCTAGATAATGTTTTAATTTTTTTTTTTTTTGAGACAGAGTGTCGCTGTTGCCTAGGCTGGAGTTCAGTGGTGCCGTCTCAGCTCACTGCAACTTTTCCCTCCTGGATTCAAGCAATTCTCCTGCCTCAGCCTCCTGAGTAGCTGGGATTACAGGTGTGTGCCACCACACCTGGCTAACTTTTGTGTTTTTATTAGAGATGGGTTTTGCCATGTTGACCAGGCTGGTCTCAAACTCCTGACCTCAAGTGAGTCACCCACTTTGGCCTCCCAAAGTGCTGGGATTACAGGCGTGAGGACTGCTGCCTGGTAATTTTTAAATTTTTTTGTAGAGATAGAGGTATCATTATGTTGCCTAGACTGGTCTCCAACTCCTGGACTCAAGCCATCCTCCTGTTTCAGCCTCCCAAAGTGCTGGGATTACTGCCACTGCACCTAGCAGTCACGCCTTCCTTTTTGTCTGAAATGCCCTTCCCTCTTCACCCTGGTTAACTCCTACTGGTTCTTCAAGACTCTATCTAAACATCTCCCAGAAGCCTTCCTTAGAACCTCTAAGACTGTGATAGGTGGCCCTCCAATGTAGTCTCAAGTAGCTTATCCTTATCACAGCTGTACTCTACATGACTGAATACCAACTTATATATACAGCTTGAGGATGGAGCTGCATTATTGCATGTCCTGGGCCTGAAACAGGAGCTAAATCACAAATGATGTTGAATATCTAGATAAGCAGCAAATTGAAAAGGGTGCCCCTGCCTAGAATCAATGGGCTTAGCAGAGAATGCAACCCATGAATCCTTTGAGCAGGAAGTCATAATTGTGGCCTCGTTTGTGTTCTAATCTGCTAAGTCAGTACAGGAATAAAGGGGTTTTCATGGATGATCATAAATGCCTCCTAATGATTTAGCTGTGCTCTGTCTAATCCAACAAGCCTGTACTTACTATAACCCTTATCTGGGCTCAACATTTTCTAGGTTGGGTAACTGAACTCCTTTGGAGATTGCATGCTGCAGGACTTTGTACAATTAAAGCTGAATTACTATTATTTGCAAGCAGTCCTCCACCTACAGTTCTGAGTCACTTAGCTGACTATTTCTCTCTCCCTAGGAGACTGCCCAATTGTCTCCAACAGCACTGTTTTTTTTTTTTTTTTTTTTTTTTTTTTTTGCCTTTCTAGGCAACGATCACATAGGAGTGGTAGGATTCAGAGAATGGTACTAATACACCTAAGCACACTACCCAAAATGACGCGGCATCTGGACTTTCGGATGCCTCTAGGATATGTTAGCTCCTGTAAGGCTTCATACTTAGATTCCAGATCACATGTTTGGCCAGGGCTCTTTCCTGCTTGCCTTCCGAAGCCCAGGAGAGAACAGTTAGAAGCTTTACACAATCCAGAATACAACAGACAGTTTGAATTGTTTTATTTTAGGAATCATTTATTGTGTTTTATTCCAGTTATAAAAGTAGTACATGCTCATTACAATTTGAGAAATACAGAAAAGCATAAGTAAAAATATAGAAATCACTGCCATCGAGATATCTCCACAACATTTGGAAAGCTTTTCTCTTCTATTTTTTCTTTGTTAAAAGCAGCAAATACACTATATATGTGTACACATTAAACACCACTTTCAATTACTTTAACTAGTGTGACTTTAACATCCTGAATGTCATATTAAAAAAAAAGACTTAATAATTTGTCTAACATTCAATGTTGTTAATGTGTTGAGCCACTCCCTTATCAAGTTTAATTTTAATTGCACAGAATGCTATGATGAATATATACATGTAATTTGTGAGAATCTCTTGCTTATTTCCGTATGATAAAAATCCTACAAGCAGAATTACAAGATCAAAGGGTACAGCTGCATTATCAAAGCCTGATGTATACTATCAACTTGAATTCCAAAAAGGACATATATTCAGTAGTGTATGTGGGTGTCTAATTTTTGGTTTTGATTTTAAAACTCTCAAATGGTATAATGATAATCAACTACCTTGTGATTAAATGTTTGGTTTTAGTCCCTTTTTGTTTTCGTTTCGTTTTGTTTTGTTTTGGAAACAGAGTCTCCCTCTGTCACCCAGGCTGGAGTGCAGTTTTACAATCGTGGCTCACTGCAACTTCTTCCTCCCAGATTCGAGTGATTCTCGTGCCTCAGCCTCCCAAGCAGCTGGGACTACGGGTGTGCTACCATGCGAGGCTAGTTTTTTAAATATATACATATATTTTTAGTAGAGATGGGGGTCTTACCATGTTGGCCAGACTAGACTCAAACTCCTGGCCTCAAGTGATCCATCTACCTCAGCCTCCCAAAGTGCTGGGATTACAGGTTGGAGCCACCACACCTGGCCAGGTTTCATTTTTAACAAGAAAAATATTTATTTTTGAGACAGTCTCGCTCTGTCGTTCTGTCACCCAGGCTGAAATGCAGTGGCGTGATTTCAGCTCACTGAAACCTCTGCCTCCCCAGTTCAAGCAATTCTCCTGCCTCAGCCTCCCACCAACCTGGGATTATAGGAACATACCACCACACCTGGCTAATTTTTGTATTTTTAGTAGAGATGGGGTTTCACCATGTTGGCCAGGCTGGTCTCGAACTCCTGACCTCAAGTGATCTGCCTGCCTTGGCCTCCCAAAGTGCTGGGATTACAGGCACGGACTACCGCACTCAGCCTGAAAAATCTTTAGATTAGGAGTCTTCCAGCTGGATGCAGGGCTCACGCCTGTAATCCAACACTTTGGGAGGCCAAGGCTGGAGGATCACTTGAGCCCAGGAGTTCGAGACCAGGCTCTTTAGACCCCTCACGGTGCTCCGAGGTGGGAGAATCACCTGAGTCCAGCGAGATCAAGGCTGTAGTGAGTCGTGTTTGCGCCACCGCACTCCAGCCTGAGGACCCTGTATCAAAAAAAAAAAAAGTCTTCTCGTGCAAAGCCTCACTGTAAGGTCCCTGGGTTCAATGCTCCGCGCTCTGGGATGTCAATGTGGAAAAGTAAGTGCCAAGGGGGGTGTCTACCTGAGCTCCGAAGGACTAGGTACTTAGGGTAATAGCATGGCTCTGGGTTCCAATCCTGACCTCTCTGTGACCTCAGTCTCCTCCCGGGAGAGGATGAAAAGCGAAGCTGGATGCACTCTATAGTGATCGCTGTGATAGTCATTATGAGTCTTACTCCCCCAGATTCGGACAAACTCAAGACCAAGCTATGGAGTCCATTTCATGCTGACACCGTCAGTTCTGAGCAACTGTAAAATGGAGACATGGTGGCCCAGGTGGCTACTGACCTGAGGCTGGGGGCCGCGACAGTCCAGCCGCTGGGGGCTCCATGCGGCGCTGCGGGATCAGCCTGCGGTCTCCGCCAGACTCCAGCTCTCCAGCGCCCCGCACGCCTTGGGCGCTACCCGCGTCACCTCAGTGAGTGCTCACACGTCTGTGAGGTAGGCGGTGCCACAGAGAAACTGAGGTGCGGTAACCCAAGGCACCTGTCCAGTTTCTCAGCCGAGCGTGAAACGCGCTCGGGGCTGGCATCCACACGGCCCGGCTCCATGCTCTCCCTATCAGCGCCTGAAGGCTCTTCGCACCTCCAGGGGGCGCTGGCCTGCGCGCACGCGCAATGGTCGCAGCCACCTCCCCTTTAAGAGGATTCCTTTTGCCTCCTCCGACTCCTTCGCTTCCGCTCCGCGTTCCCACAATGCAGTGCGGCTGAGCGCCTCGGAGCCCGCGGGGACGCTGCGGGGGGACCCGTGCTGAGGCGGCGGCGGCGGCGGCGACGTGGGCTGCGGCGGGCCCGCGGCGTCGGGCGGTGCGGATGTCGGGCTGGGCAGACGAGCGCGGCGGAGAGGGCGACGGGCGCATCTACGTGGGGAACCTTCCGACCGACGTGCGCGAGAAGGACCTGGAGGACCTGTTCTACAAGTACGGCCGCATCCGCGAGATCGAGCTCAAGAACCGGCACGGCCTCGTGCCCTTCGCCTTCGTGCGCTTTGAGGACCCCCGGTGAGTGCCCCGCGCGCGCGCCCGCCTTCGGGGCCTGAGGCCCCCGCCTTCCCTGCTCTCCCCTCCCCCCGGCCTCCCCTCCCCCCGCGTCCGCGCAGACCCCTCACGGCGCCCCCTCACGGGTGGAGGATGAGGCCGCCTCTCGCAGGCCGGGGCCGTCCTTCGCGCCGTCGTCACTTCCTTTATTTTTATTATTCCAGTGTTTTGCTTAGAAACCCAACAGCTGAGCAAGGACCCCAGCCCGCCTGAACCGGTCTCGGGGCGTCCAAATGAGCCCTGTCCCCCTCCCGCCTGGGGCGGCACCGTGAGGGGAAGCAGCCCCGGGGCCGCGCGGGGGTCGCCGTTCGCCCTTCCCGCCTGCCCCTCCCCCGGCCGTAGCTCGCCGCCTGCAGGGTCGCGGGTGCCGCCGGAGGTCGTGGAGGGGTTTCTGGTGGAACAGCTCGCCGTCCGCGCGCCCCGCCCGGCGAGGCCAGGGCCCGGGCTTTGTAAAGGGATCAGGGATTTGGGAAAACTTCTAAAACAGCCAGAGTGGGGCTCTGATTTCACTTCCCTCTTTTAATGAGGGAGGCTGGGCGAGATGCTAAAGATTCCAGGGATTTGGAAACTCTGGATTCCTAACCCGGCTCGAAGGAGTTTGTGATTTTGCAAACAGTGTCAGCCGTCTGGCCGCAAAAAGCCCAGGAACTTTCAAAACTGTGGTTGCTGTGGTTAGAAGCCGCGGCGCTGAACTGGTCACTCCGCTGCGGCCAAGTAAGAGCCTGCTCCGTTTTCCTAGCATCGTCGGTTCCCGGGGAACACAGGGAATGTTCGTAGGGTGTCCAGCCTACCTGGGGTGGACGTATTGATAGCAAGAAGGACATCTGAGGAGGGGCAGGCAGGAAGCACCGCGAGGCTTTGATGGCTGAAGAGTCGACTCTGACAGCTCATCCCTGTTATCTTGTCATTTACCTCAAAACCGAAACTGGGCATTTTTACACCTAGCCGGAGAATGCTATGCCTCGCTTATTTGGTAACCGTGCTATTGTGGTTTTTCAACAGTTGCTATGGGTTGAGTGCCATGGCGTGTATTTAACTTTTTTTCTTTCCTTCTTATTTTTTTCGATTAATAAAATAGGAAGTTTCACCATGTTGCCCAGGCTGCTCTCGAACTCTTGAGCTCAGGTTATTTGCCTGTCTCAGCGGATCAAGGTGTTAGGATTACGGGCGTGAGGGACTCACCCAGCCTGTATTTTGTGGTTGGTTGGTTTGTTTGTTTTAATCAATTTATGAGGTGTAGCTACTATTAACCACATTTTACAGATCAGGATCTTGAGGATTTAGAGTTAACTGATAAAAAAAGAAAGCTAGTGGCGGGGCACGGTGGTTCACACCTGTAATCCCAGCACTTTGGGAGGCCGAGGCAGGTGGATCATGAGGTCAAGAGGAGAGACTGTTCTGGCCAATATGGTGAAACCCCATCTCTACTAATAATACAAAAATTAGCTGGGCGTGGTGGCGCGTGCCTTAGTCCCAATTGCTGGGGAGGTTGAGGAAGGAGAATTGCTTGAACTTGGGAGGTGGAGGTTGCAGTGAGCTGTGATGGCGCCACTGCATTCCAGCCTGAGGACAGAGTGAGTCTCCGTTTAAAAAAAAAAAAAAAAAAAAAAACCCACAAACACAGAAGGCTAGTAAGGGATCAGGGGATTTGTTATTTATTTTTTTTGAAACGGCGTTTGGCTCTTGTTGCCCAGGCCGGAGTGCAGTGGTACACTCTCGGCTCACTGCAACCTCCGCCTTCTGGGTTCGAGCTTTTCTCGTTCTTCAGTCTCCCGAGTCCCTGGGATTACAGGTGCCCACTGCCATGCCCAGCTAATTTTTGTATTATTACTAGAGAAAGGGGGTTTCACCATGTTGCCCAGGCTGGTCTCAAACACCTCACTTCAAGTGATCCGCCTGCCTCAGCCTCCCAAAGTGCTGGATTACAGGCTTGAGTGACTGTGCTGGGCCTGAATGCAGGCCAATTTTTATTCAAAGTCTGCTCTGACATCCTGGCACTTCTGCCTCTCCTAATCTGCATTTTACATAGTCAAAGTTGCACTGGATGTGGTCCTTGTTGCTTTTAGTTCTAAAATCTTATAAATGATTATGTGCCTGTGACACTGAACAGTGCCTTCATTGGCACATTCAGCTCCTCTTGTCCACCCAAACTCCAAGGTCACACTTTACCAGCCAATAGTGGAGAATCAATGTGGCATTCCTGACTCTCCTAGAGTCTTAGGAAAGACTTTAAGTAATTTTATTGAATATTTATCTCTTTTGGCAAAATTGTATCCAGAGAGTGTTTTTTTGGACAAAATAATTCTCCAAACCAAGCTGAAAAAGTACACTTAGGAGAGTTCCAAGGCCAGTTGCAATGTCTTATGCCTGTAATCCTAGCACTTTGGGAGACTGAGGTGGGAGGATCGCCTGAGCCAAGGAGTTCAAGACCAGGCTAGGCAACATAGGGAGACCTGTCTCTACAAAAAAAATCCAAAGATTAGCTGGCCCTATTCAGGAGGCTGAGGTGGGAGGATTGCTTGAGCCGAAGAGTTACAGGCTGCAGTGAGTTATGCTCTAGCCCACTGCACTCTGTCTTGGTGACAGTGCAAGACCCTGTTTCAAAAAAAAAAAAAAGTTCCTTCCACATTCATCACAAAACACTCATTTGCATTTATCTTTTGAGCCTTATTTTTATTTTTTTTGAGATGGAGTCTTGCTCTGTTGCCAGGCTGGTATGCAGTGGCACAATCTCGGCTTACTGCAACCTCCACCTCCCGGGTTCAATCGATTCTCCTGCCTCAGCCTCCTGAGTAGCTGGGATTACAGGCATGCACCACCACACCTGGCTAATTTTGCATTTTTAGTAGAGATGGGGTTTCTCCATGTTGGTCAGGCTGGTCTCAAACTCCTGAACCTGAGGTGATCTGCTTGCCTCAGCCTCAAAAAGTGTGGGGATTAGAGGTGTGAGCAACCGCGCCTGGCACGTTATTTTTTTTTTACAAGACAGGGTCTTACTATATTACCCAGGCTGGCCTTGAACTGGGTTCAAACACCACGCCCAGCTACTTTATTTATTTCCCTCAAATATTCTACTATCCAACTGGCTACTTTTTTTTTTTGAGACAGGGTCTCTGTCACCCAGGCTGGAGTACGGTAGTGAGACCTTGGCTCTGCACTTCCATCTCAGCCTCCTGAGTAGCTGGGACTACAGGTGTGCACCACCATGCCTGGCTAACTGGCTGCTTTTTTCTTTCCATAGACTTTATGGCACTAGGCCTTTTAGAACAATATTAAGGGGTTAGTGTGTGGTATGCTTTTTGAGAAGATGCTCACCAAGTTTAGAAAAACACTAGTGGTTTATTGGCAAAATCAATCTGTCAGCAGTTGATTCTTTTTTCTCTGAATTAGCCCTCTTATATAAATAAACTATTTGACCATTCATTATAATTTCAAACCTATAAAACTGTGTGACAGCTATAAAGGTTAATTCCAGTATCATGAAACATCTCCAGACCAAAGCAGAAATGCATCAAGATCCTAATTTGTGTTTTTCTTCCTTCACTCTCGGTTTCCCTTTTATGCTTACTACTTGTGCTTCTCACTGGGAAGTCACTCAGCCTCCTGAACAGCACTAACTCCAAACTTTTTTTTTGCAGAGATGCAGAGGATGCAATTTATGGAAGGAATGGTTATGATTATGGCCAGTGTCGGCTTCGTGTGGAGTTCCCCAGGACTTATGGAGGTCGGGGTGGGTGGCCCCGTGGTGGGAGGAATGGGCCTCCTACAAGAAGATCTGATTTCCGAGTTCTTGTTTCAGGTATGTTCCTTTCAAACAGAATGAAATGATACATGTAAAATACTTAACACAGAGTCTGGCTTCCAAGAAATGATAGCTGTTATTCTTCAGTGCATGGGACATGTGGGCTTTCTTTTCAGTAGCCTGTGTGCAGTGCCAGTCTGAAGCCCTGCCCTGGATTGCCAACGAGGCAAGTATCCTGCAAATGAAATTGCGCTGGGAGTGCAGCCTTGGAAGAATATAAACATACTTCTTGTAAAGGCGTTTTCTAGTGGTGAGAAGGGAAGATGATGGCAAAACCCCTTGAGCTACAATTATAAAGACTCTTCTTTTGGAATGTACTTGGCATCAGACTTGGTAGAAAGGCATTCCAGGAGCCAGATTTGAACAGCTTACCCAGCCTTGGATCCTGAAGAAGATCAAATTTTGTGGTGGTTTTAGAATTAAATATTTTTTAAAACCCTGTAACTTGGAGTGTTAGAGATTTTATTGGAAAGTATAGACTGTTTTCTGTCTAGTGTTTATAAGTGATGAAATGCTAAACTGGGAAGTTTATGTATCTTCAACATTTTAACACACTGGAAAGACCTGGGGCTTTCTGCATATTGCATGGGAGTTTTAGGGCCTTGGTGAAGTGAAATGTATCAAGGAGCCTAGCACCTTTTTAAGATGTGAATGTCACACAATCACAGCATACTCCCATGTGCTTAAGAGTGACCCTCTCAGTATCTGCCTATCTTGTGTCCCTTTGTAATTTTTTAACCCCAGAACTCTATTCCCTCCTTCAGGATGTCATACATTATCTTTTTTTCTCTCCATGCTGCTCTGAAATCCTGCTTAGAAAACTATTAGGAAATGGCTGCAGTCCTGAGCTGTGAGCGGTAAACACAGCCTTTGAGAGCAGGAGCACATTTCCCTTTCATGACTTCAGGTAGGGTTGTATGACTCCCGACTAGTTTTAGCATCTGAGCCTTACCTTTCCCCCTACTGTATTGAAGAATGTTGGTGATCTCTTAAGAGGTACTTTGTATAGTTTGTCACTCACACCTATAAGAAAACTTTAGTTTTGTTGTTGTGTTGTTACCTTCAGCTACTTTTTCGTTGGTTATTTCGTTGTCTGGTTTCAAAATTCTCATGTCCTGTGAAACTCTGTCAGGCAATAAATAATTGGTACTGTTAAATTTCATAATGGAAAAAAATTGGAACTCAAAAGTATTAGGAGTTTGGTATTGATTATAAAGAACAAAGAAAGAGGCAATGAATTCTCAGAGACACTAAACCTGTCATGGGATGGACTTCTTGCCATGTTGAAAAGGCCTGGTCTCTGGAAGATGGACTTAAAACCAGCTTCTCAAGGTGGTTTATTTACCACACATACTTCAGTGCTCTTTTCCGATTTCATGTCACTTATCAAGCTTTATGATTTGGGGATCCTAGTGATCATGCAGAAGGGACCGTAGGCAGTGCTGGCTCTCAACAGGGCAGTTAACATAGCTGAAGGATGTGGGCTTTCTTATGTTCTCCATGCCTAGGACTTCCTCCATCAGGCAGCTGGCAGGACCTGAAGGATCACATGCGAGAAGCTGGGGATGTCTGTTATGCCGATGTGCAGAAGGATGGAGTGGGGATGGTTGAATATCTCAGAAAAGAAGACATGGAATATGCCCTGCGTAAACTGGATGACACCAAATTCCGCTCTCATGAGGTAAGTCCTTGCCTTCTGTTGAGCTTGTACTCAAATCATTCCACTCACCTGACCTAGCAGAGGTAGCAATAGGCCATGCCAGTTGGTGACCTGACAGTACCATGAAAGATCTTAAGTGGACAAAGCCATGGAATTTGCTGTGCCTAAGTCCTTCAGGGTTATAGTTGACAGAAGTGTTCATTCATGTTATGTTTTTTTAAAAATATGCTTTATTCTGTCTATTGGTATCACATGACACAGTTTGGTCATGGTATTTGTAACTTGGAGAAAATACTAGTGCAATCGTCTTCATGTGGAGAGTCATTTTGTGATATCACCCCATTCCCAACCAGCTTAAACAGCAGTATCCCTCTGTGAACCCAGCTGCCCCTCCTGTGGGTCTAGGCTGGGCTCTACAGACCAGTCTCCTCATCTCAGCCCTTCTAGGTCCCGCTGTCAGGGCTGAGCTGTCACTTCACTTTTCCTTTCCCAGAGTAGTACAGGATCCTCTCTGAAACCTGAGCTATCATGACATTTTCTTTTTTAATTTTGTAATTTTTATATTTCTCTAGTTTTTGATTTTAGAGACAGAGTCTCATTATGTTGATTGCCTGCGGTGACCCTGAACTCCTGGGCCCAAGCAGTCTTCCCACCTCAGCCTCTCCAGTACTTGGGACTGCAGGCATGCACCACTGTGCCAGGCTCAACCATGACATTTTCTTGTTGTTGATTACCTCACCCTTGAGACTCAGTGGTTCTTGATGTCCTTCCTTGTAGGAAAGCAGCTGCTGTTTTGGATCTCAGTTTGATTCAAGTGGTGACTATCCCTTTGGTACCACTGAGACCAGATACCAGACTACCAATTGGACATTGTTGTTTGTTGTTGTTGTTATCCTGTCCTGCCTTGCTGTGGGATTTATGGATGTCTGGGGACATTGACCTCTGGGCTCATTTCTTTTTCTGAGGATTCATATAATTCCATAGTTTTTGGCTTAGAGGTTGGTCCTTGGATGGTTTAATGATGCTTTTGCTCAGACTGTCCTCTAGGACTTGAATTTGGAGCAGGAACAGAACAGCCCCTGATCCTCAGTTATACTGCAAAGCAGGACCTCAGAAAGGGTAACTCCAATTACTGACTTTCACCTAAGGTGAAAAAGCATCTAGCTTCTTTCCTCTTGAGATCTTTGGATCTTCTGAGAATGGTGGCTGAAGGCAGAGGGCTTGGAGACATGACTCCTCTGCTACTTATTAATTCCTTACCTGAACTGAACTACTCTTGGAACCTCGATTCCTTCATGGGCAAAATGGTCACATAAAAGCACCATCATAAGACTTGCCAGGAAGCTAGAAGATGATGATAACATCTAGAGCATCTAGCTGAGATCCTAACACCTGGAAGGTATTTAATTACAGGTAGCTCCTTCCATAGATGCCCATCCGGAGATGCATATATGAAGTGGCAGAGAATTAAACTATATGACCCGAGATCCTTTCCAGTTCTTAGCTTGGGGGTGGGGGTGGGGGTCAATGGCAGTAATTCAGATACATTGTTTATAATAGCTAATTGAGTATTAACATGTCAGGTTGGCATTTATTATTTGCGTTACCTTGGGCAAATGATGTAACTGAAGTCTGAATTTTCTTCATTCTTGAAATGGGATAGTAAGAGTACCTACCTCCTAATGTTATGAGGGTCTGATGAGATAGCCTCATGCCAGGCACAGAGTATACAGTAAGTGGTTAATACTTAACTGTTAGATGTTCGTTTGCTTATTCTTTTGGCTCTGATTTTTTTCCCCTTTACTCTGTTTTTGTTCACATTTCAGGGTGAAACTTCCTACATCCGAGTTTATCCTGAGAGAAGCACCAGCTATGGCTACTCACGGTCTCGGTCTGGGTCAAGGGGCCGTGACTCTCCATACCAAAGCAGGGGTTCCCCACACTACTTCTCTCCTTTCAGGCCCTACTGAGACAGGTGATGGGAATTTTTTCTTTATTTTTTAGGTTAACTGAGCTGCTTTGTGCTCAGAATCTACATTCCAGATTGATCATTTAGTGTCTTAGGAAATTTTTTTAAATTTTTTTTTAAAAGAAAAAAAACTACATAATTTCTACCAGGGCCATATTAGCAGTGAAACATTTTAAACTGCAGAAATTGTGGTTTTGGTTCAGAAGCAAGTTGTATATTTTTCACCCGATTATGGGAAAAAAAATCAGTTTTGTCTTTGTGGGTTACTCTGCTATGGAGATCAGCAGTTACTGTTACTGAGTTGGCCCATTCTGTTTAGAAATATATTTTAAACGTTTAGTAATTGACATGTGTGGTTGTCCTTGATTAAGTTTATAGATTTCAACAAATAGGCACACCAATTTTAAAAATCATTGAGTTGACCGGGCGCGGTGGCTCACGCTTGTAATCCCAGCACTTTGGGAGGCCGAGGTGGGTGGATCACAAGGTCAGGAGTTCGAGACCAGCCTGGCCAACATGGTGAAACCCCATCTCTATTATTACAAAAAAAAATTTTTTTTTAAATCATTGAGTTGTAGTCATAACTCATACTCAGTTAGTAAGGAGATAACTTTATTTATATGGGGATAGATAGTTGCTTTGATGTTGGTTTGAGAACTTCAACTCCAAAAGCAGGTTCTCTTTTAATTCAAGGCTAAGCTTGTAAATTAAATTGCCTTAAAGAAGAAAGAAGCATTGCAGAAAAAGGAAGGGAATGGGAAAAAATAAACACATGGTGGCCAATGCCTGTGATCCCAGCACTTTGGAAGGCCAAGGCATGCTGGAGGATCCCTTGAGGCCAGGAGTTCAAGATAACATAGGCAACATAGCAAGACCCCTTATCTACTTAAAAGAATTAACTGGACATGGTGATGCACATCTGTAGTCCCAGCTACTTAGGAGGCCTGAGGTAGGAAAATCACTTGAGCCCAGGAGTTGGAGGCTACAGCGATCTATGATCACGACACTGCACTCCAGCCTGGGTATCAGAGCAAGACCCTGTCTCAGAAAAATTAAAAAAATGAGCAGCAGTGCAAATATCATTGGGAATTTCTTAGCCAAAACCAACTTTGGCAGTTTGGTTAGAGGAAAAAGTCTCTCTCTGATTCTATCACTTTTATCCCTAAATAGGTTTTATTAATCCTTAGTATCTGTGTTTTAAAACAAAAAAACGCATAATCTTGGACTCATCTCAATTTAATAATCATTTTGGGGGTGCTTTGTCCCAGGGCTAATTTTAGGACAAGTTCTCTTTTCAGAAAGAGAAACACTAGGTATGACTAGTGTCCCTTTTGCATATAATCACTTTGTGGGATAGCAGATAGCTCTAGGTTAGGAGTTCCCAAGCTCTAGTCTACTTTGAACACTCTTCAGACCTTAGCAGGAAGTTAGCCCTTTTCTAGGAACAAAGTGGGTGCCCGGGAACAAATTCAGGTATGTTTGGTCAAGATAGGCCTGCTCAAATCAATGCAAGTGGCAACTAAAAGGGACAGCCAAGGTTGTCACATAGTGATCAAGATGCTCCATCTACCAGTTACATAGATAGAAAAGTTCACTTTCATGCAGTTGACTCAGTCTTCTGGGGTTAAAGGCAGATAAATAGTGTCTGTCTTACTGAACAGGCCTGTTTAGTGAATACCTTGGAAGCTGAGTTTTTGCTTTCCTTTCATTTCAGTTAGCATCAGGAACTCACTTACAGATCTTTGGGCTCTAGAACTCATTGGGCTAGATCTTTCCCAATTCTGTCTTCAGAAGAGCCTGTTATTAAGAAATGCTTAAGTGTCCATTTTTTTTAGGTGACTTAGAAAAGCAGAAACATTAGTGTTCACAGTAAGAAAATACTGTCATTGTGCTTCCACGTGTTCAGAGTACCCCCTTTCCAGAAGGAGTTACTCAGCTGTGTGGGAATGGCTCTTGTTCATCCAGCTTTGGCAAAGGGATGTTACCTGTTTGAAAACAACGAAAAAGAATGTTATAGCTGAGCCTGCCGCCCAGCTGGCTTTACTGAGCTAACCAGTCACTTAGTTTCTCATGGAAACTAGGGAAGTAAGTGCAGCTACTATCCCGTTTTCCTAACTGGGGGTATCTGGAGGAATCAGTTCTAAGTGAAGCCAAATTAATGCACATTTTTCAGGAAGGAGTAGACAGGTTGACTAGCCACTAATATGCAGATAGGAGTAGAAGGAAAGACTATGATCATGAACTCAAGTGGTCCCAAGAAGCAAAATGCGAAGTAAAGTTCTGTGTAGGCGATATCACGTATGATCAATAGATATACCTGCTAAAGCCACAACTATGAGGCTCTGAGATTGAGAGTCTCCTTTCTCTCCACAGTTAGATGGTTTAGTAGATTGGAGGCATGAATAAGAGTTTGGCTCACAAGTTTTCTAGCTTTCTTTCCCATCCTTGCTTTAACCAGAGCCTGATTTTAACTGGCACCTTGAGCTGACCAAGGCCAGTGTCCTCTGTGGAGTCTGCTCAGAATGATTCTCTCTCAGGGGATGTCCTGAAGTGTAAGTTGGCACTTAGCAGTCTACCTGACTGCTTTTGGTTAGTCCCACTCCTAAATGCCCAGAGAGGTAGTACACAGCTCTGATACTCACCTACCCTCAGAGGAGATAAAAAGTCAACCTATCCAAGGTTCTGGATTTTACTCTCAGCCCAGAGTAATTTAAAGCTTCTATTTAAAATATTTGCAGTGAGGTAGATGATGCAAATCTCTACACCAGCAGTTGCAAACTGGTGGCTCACAGATTGCACCTGTCTTGCAGGTGTGTTTTATTTGGCTTGGATAGTATTTTATTTTTTAAATTTTGAATTGGTTGCCAGCACTTAAAATTTCAGAAATATCACACAAAATGCCAGGTATCCGGGTTCTCTGGAGAAATGAGCTTACATTCCTGCCTGGCACCACTGAAATGGTAGCAGTCACACTCCTCCTGCTTTGAGTGGGCACAGACTGAGGGCAGACCCTAATGACGTTTGAGTGATGTCAAAAAGGGGCAAAGATGTGACTTTTTTTTTTTTTTTTTTTTAAGACGGGGTTTCACCATGTTGGTCAGGCTGGTCTTGAACTTCCGACCTCAGGTGACCCGACTGCCTTGGCCTCCAAAGTGCTTGGATTACAGACGTGAGCCACCATGCCCGGCAAGATGTGATAACATCTGCGCCAAGGCTGCACATGATAACTAACTTGTCACAATAAGATTCCTTTAGGAAAGGACTGGTTCTTTTTTGTGGCACCCAGCCCAAAGCTAGACATAACAAATATTTATTCATGGTATGAATACTAGAAAGTTGGAGTCAATTACAGGATCTGGCATGGTCTTAACTGTGGCTTTGAGAAACAGTGAATGCCAGCTGCCCCTTTAGGGAGATCTTGAGCTCCAGATTTCCACCTACTCTAAACCCCACCCCACCCCCCACATCCTCTTTTGCACATTCCTGTTACTGTCTCCTAGAGGTGAGTATGACCCTCGCCTGGACTCTACTGCCACCTTAATGCCACCATCTATATGTACTTTATCCTTTTCAAAGTGCCTTCACATAGCATCTTTGGTCCTCACAATTCGTGCTTCATTCCTTTTTTTTTTTTTTTTTAAATTTTTAATTTTTAATTTTAATTTTTTTAAAGATGGGGTTTTACCATGATGGCCAGGCTGGTCTTGAACTCCTGACCTCAGGTAATCCACCCACCTCAGCCTCCCAAAGTGCTAGGATTACAGGCGTGAGCCACCATGCCCGGCTTCCTGCTTCATTCCTAAGGTCACTGTGAGACTGCCTGTTAAACCACCCTGGGCAGCACATACCTGGAGGGGCCACAAAGTACTCCTCCACGACACGGTGGGAGTTTTGTAGTAATTCATCAGCACAGTTGCCTTCTACTACATTGTCGGATCTCAGGTATAGACATCTACAAAACCCAGAAGCTCAAGGTTACCCTCTCAGAGAATGGGGCTTTTAGGGGATGATGGAGAGGGGCAAAAAAGGGAGAACAAGGAAGCAGTATATTCTTGTGTTAATAGGCACTGTTCAAAGATAGAGAAATGGATCAACAGTAGACCAAACAGCAGCCTGCAGTTGATAGATTGCCCCAACAACCCTGTGAAGTAAGTGCTAGTTACTTCTCTGGATTGATTTAACAAGTAGTTTCGGATGATTATACAGCTAGTGCTCGACTTACGACCACGATTGGGACCGGCAGGCCGGTCGTAACACGATTTGGTCATAAGTTGAGTAGGCTATATGTACAGTTGAAATGGTGCACGTGGAGATGGTGGTGCTGCTGGAAGCTGGTCCGCACTGTCGTACGCCCAGCTGGGCAACGTTTGCGCTGCCAGATGCGGAGCAGTCGTGGCTAGCGATTGTGGTTGTAAAGTCGAATGGTCGTAAGTTGCATAGGTCGTAAGTCAATCAATACCTGTATGGGCAACTGCCTTTTGGTGAGGACAGGTAAAGGCAATTACAAAACAATATTTTAAATCTAACAGAGGCCGAAGTGGGCGGGTCACCTGAGGTTAGGAGTTCAAGATCAGCCAGGGCAACATGGAGAAAAACCCTGTTTCTACTAAAAATACAAAATTAGCCAGGTGTGGTGGTGCATGTCTGTAGTCCAGCTACTCTGGAGGCTGAACCAGAAGAATCGCTTGAACCTGGGAGGCAGAGATTGTGGTGAGCCGAGCCTGGGCAATAATAAGAGTGAAACCCCGTCCCCCTAACAAAAGATTTCTTAAATCTAACAGGTTAGCACAGCCTGCCAAAGGATAGAAAGGGTACCTAGTTCAGCCTGGGTGAGTAGCACATCCTCAGAATAGCTGATGTCACCGCTCAAGGATGGGCAAGAAATAGCTGGATTGGGGGATGAAGGGATGAGAAATGGACTTCCTGGCATGTATACCAGCACGAATCCCAAAGCAAGAGAGCCCAGAGATTCAGAGAGGGGCAGGGAGTTTAGCAGGCTGGGGTGTGGTCTCCTGGGGTGGAAGATGAAGCTAGAAACCTAAGCAGAGATGGGGCAGCAAACTTGCCTCAAGAGTGACTGACTTAAGGGTACTGGCTCCTAAGTGAGAGAACTGGGATCTGAGGCCAATCTGGTACCCCTAAGATGAATGCTTTTTCCACCACAGCCACTTTGGTGGATGTAAAAGTGCCTGCCCTTGAGCAAGATGTGCCACAAACAGCTCAATCTCCCAGTGTCCTGTGGGTCCTAGTGACTTTACTAAAGCCTTCAGATGGCAAACCAGTAAAAACACAGGAGCTTGAACATATGCATGAAGCTTCACTGTTGTTTCAAGGTACAAAAGTGTGTAAGCTTGCTTCCAGATATTTGGACTAAAAAAATAAGCAGTCTGTTAAATCACTGATATGGTAATCAGTAGTAGCCATGCTCCTGCTTTGAGTGGGCACAGACTGAGGGCAGAGCCTAATGGCGTTTGAGTCATGTCACAGAGGGACAAAGATGTGACAGGAACATCTGGGCTAAGGCTGCACATAAGAACAAAGTTGTCACAATAAGATTCTTTTAGAAAAGGACTAGTTTTGTGTGTGTGTGGCACCTAGCCCAAAGCTAAACACAAATATTTATTCATGGTATGAATACTAGAAGTCTATTATAGGATCTGGCACGTTCTTAACTGTGGCCTTGAACAAGTATGATCTTTTCAGACATTAAATTTCTTGTTTAAAAAAAAAAAAAAAGCCTGGTGTGGTGGCTCCCGCATGTAAGCCCAGCACTTTGAGGGGCTGAGGCAGGTGGATCACCTGAGATCAGGAGTTTGAGACCATCCAATATGCTGAAACCTTGTTTCTACTAAAAATACAAAAGTTAGCCAGGCATGGTGGTGCATACCTATAATCCCAGTTACTCAGGACACTGAGGCACGAGAATCACTTGAAGGATTCTCTGCTTCGTGGGAAGCAGAAGTTGTAGTGAGCAGAGATTGTACCACTACACTCCAACCTGGGTGGCAGAGTGAGATAGTGTCTCTCACACACATAAGAGTCACACTGGATTTTTTTTTGTAATAGCACAAGGACTGCACTTTGTGAAAATTTGGGAGAACTAAAGTAAAAATCATACCATTCAAAGGTAACCCCTGGACTTTGGAGTTTATATTTTCTGTTGGAGACTATTAAAAAATGACCAAGAGTTTAGGCTCTCAAGTCAGCTCAATTCAGATCCCAATGCTAACGTTACTTATCCTCTCCATATTTCAGTTTCCTTGTTTGTCAAATGCCTCAGGATTTCTGGGATGAGATGAATCTAAAAAACAAGATCTGATAGTGCCGAGCCTGCACTCACAGCAGTAAGAGAGGGGTCTGAGTGGCACCTGCTCCTTTCAGAAAGCCTTAGTGCACCCCAGTATACCCAGTCCCCACCACTCATTCAAAGTCTGCACTTGTGACCAGGCATTACCTGCCTAGCTCTGAAGGTTTTGAGAAGATTCTACTACTGTCAACAGGCGGTTAAATGCTACTGCTTCCCCAAGAGTAGATCTAATATCAGCTAATTTATTTACTCATCATCAAGTAATCAAGTTTGGTAATCAAGTTTCCTGTGTAAGTGGAATTTCCAGGAAAACAAAATTCACCCCTTTATTTACCACATATTTCCATTAGTTACTGGTTATGATGGAGTTTTGTTCCTAAAATAGACCCATGTCTTCTGAGGTTGTCTTTTTTTTTTTTTTTTTTTTTTTGAGACAGGGTCTTGCTGTGTTGCCTAGGCTGGTCTCAAACTTCTGGGCTCAAGTAATCCTCTTGCCTCAGCTTCCCAGGTACCTGGGATTATAGGTGTGTACCACTATGCCCAGCTTTATTTTCTTAATTATGGGCTACTGAACCCATAGTCTCTGACAGTGGTACAGCAAGCATACCCTTCACTTGGTGAGTTGCTTCACTTTCTTGGACCTCAGAATTGTATAAAACACCAAACAGGACCAGATGAGCTCTTCAGATTAACTGCTGATTGACTAAGCTTCTACCTCACTTCCTGTCTTTCCTAATCAGTGTTCTGTAAGGTAAGTTAGCCCACATACCCCAAGACACCCATTCTGATGATAAATTAACTTCTCTCCTATGTGTTTGGGCTAACATTTGTCATGTACTGTCCTTGGGAGAACTGAAAAAAAGTCACTTGAAGCTTTGTGTTCTGGTTTGAATGAGGAACCCTGGTTGAGAAAGACTTCAGCTGTAAACTAGAAGTCCCTGCTGACTAAAACTCACGAACAATAACTTAAGTAACTGTGGGAAATGCTGCTACAATGGCATTGGGAAGTGTTGTGGCATCAGGGAGGATAAAGTGGCTCCATTTGTGATCCTGTCAGGCCTTGGACTGACTGATGGGACAGTTCTCCCAGTGCTTTTGTTTCCTTGAGCCTCTTCCCTGGTATCTGGCTGGAAGGAATAAATCCTTTTTTTTTTCCGAGATGGAATTTCGCTCTTGTTTCCCAGGCTGGAGTGCAATGGTGCGATCTCAGCTCACTGCAGCCTCCACCTCCTGGGTTCAAGCAGTTCTGCCTCAGCCTCCCGAGTAGCTGGGACTACAGGCATGCGCCACCATGCCCAGCTAATTTTTGAATTTTTAGTAGAGACAGGGTTTCACCATGTTGACCAGGATAGTCCCGATCTCTTGACAAGTGATCCACCCGCCTCGGCCTCCCAAAGTGCTAGGATTATAAGCGTGAGCCACTGTGCCCGGCCTAGGAATAGATTCTTATGGACCCTTCTACTTCCATCTAAAAGCCTTTTCCTTTTCTCTTAGTTTATTTCTAGTTTGGTGCAGACTGGAATAAAAATTATAATTATAGAGTCGGGCGTGGTGGCTCACGCCTGTAATCCCAGCACTTTGGGAGGCTGAGGTGGGTGGATCACCTGAGGTCAGGAGTTCCAGACCAGCCTGGCCATCATGGTGAAACCCCATCTTAAAAAAAAAAAAATTATAATTACACCATTCAGAGGTAACCCTTGGTTAAAAGTTCTGGCCAGGCAAGGTGGCTCACATCTATAACCCCAACACTTAGGGAGGCTGAAGCGGGTGGATTGCTTGAGCCCAGGAGTTTGAAACCAGCCTAGGAAACATGGTGAAACTCCATTTCCCCTAAAAATAAAAAAAAAGCCAGGGGTGGTGGCGTGTGCCTGTAGTCCCAGCTACTCGGGAGTCTAAGGTGGGAGGATTGTTTGAGTTCAGGAGATGGAGGCTGCAGTGAGCTGTGATTGTACCACTGCACTGCAGCCTGGGTGACAGAATGAGACCCTGTCTTGGAAAAAAAAAGGTCTGGGTTCAGGCCAGGCATGATGGCTCATGCCTATAATCCTAACACTTTGGGAGGCTGAGGCAGAAGGATCCCTTGAGCCCAGGAGTTCGAGACTCCTGGGCAACACAGCAAGACCCTCTATTTACAAAAATAAAATAAAAATAAAAATAAACCTTAGCTGGGTATTGTGGTACACACCTCTAGTCCCAGCTACTTGGGAGGCTGAGGCAGGAGGATGGGTTGAGCCCAAGAGTTTGAAGTTTTTGGTTCAAATAAGACTGAGGGACATGGGACATTTAAGTATTTGGTTGCAATCAGAGTTGCTGTAAACTCATTCTCTGGATTTCAGATGAAAGAGAATAAAGTTCCTAGGAACTGACTTTAGCTGGCATCTCTTAGAGCAGTATTTGGGAGCAGAAGCTCTGAGTTCCAAACCCTCCATTTATTACTGTGAAACTCTGGGCACATTACATAACCTTTCTGAATCTCAGTTTTTCCCATCTATAAAACAGATAACTTGTATTGACCTTCTAGGACTGTATGTAAAAACCGAGCCCCTCTCACATAAGTACACTAATGTTTTTAGCTCAAACCAAGTGACATGTTATTAGTGTGCAAAGAGATTTCTATTAACCAGTCAGGGCGTTTTTTTCTTTTTTTGGAGACCAAGTCTCACTCTGTTGCCCAGACTGCAGTGCAGTGGCACTGTCTCGGCTCACTGCAACCTCTGCCTCCTGGGTTCAAGCTATTCTCCTGCCTCAGCCTTCAGAGTAGCTGGGACTATAGTCACATGCCACCATGCCCTGCTAATTTTTGTAATTTTTGGTAGAGACACGGTTTCAGCATCTTGGCAAGGCTGGTCTCAAACACCTGACCTCAGCCTCTCAAAGTGCTGGGATTACAGGCATGAGCCATCATGCCTGGCCAAGTCAGGGCTTTTATAGCTAAGATGGCTACTACCTAAAACCATTTAAGCAACTTGGGATCCTGCAAAGAAGGATGGTGAGAAGAATATTGGCCATTTTGCCATCAACTAAGTGGTGACCCAAGAGGACACCATCAACATTCATAAGCATATCCACTGAGTGGACTTCAAGCAGCATGCCCCTCAGGCTCTTAAAGAGATGGGAAATTTGCCACGAAGGAGGTGGAAAACTCCAGATACATTCATTGATACCAGACTCAACAAAGCTGTCTGGCCAAAGTAGTAAGGAATGGCCATACTGTATCCATGTGCAGTGGGTGGTCCAGAAAACATAATAATAATGGAAATTCACCAAACAAGCTCTATACTTTGGTTACCTATGTACTTGTTACCACTTTCAGAGATCTACAGTGTGGATGTGAACTAACTTGCTGATCATCAAATACATTAATAAAGTTATAAAAACTGCCAAAAAAAAAAAAAAAAAAGGTTTAATACCCGTCTTCACTTTACTGGATTCTGTTAGTGTTTTCAAAACATTAAAGTCCTACAAATGTCAAGTTAAAATGATTAATGGGAATCATTAACCCAAACTGGTTTCCAAGTTTATGAAAAACAGTACAGTACAGATCACTGAATACCAGGTTGAGATGCTAGCTACTAGATCCAGATTCCTCGTCATCTTTTTTCACGACCTCTTCCCTTATTAATAATGGTTTTATTTCTTTATATTCACCCTTTAGATTACTTGGGAAATTCTGACAACTCTGTGCTTCTAGTCCCTTCTTTCCTAGAGATATTAATAAAGAACAATGGATGGGTGTGGTAGCTCATGCCTGTAATCCCATCACTTTGGGAGGCCACAGTGGGTGGATCACCTGTGGTCAAGAGTTTGAGACCAGACTGGCCAACATGGTGAAACCCCATCTCTACTAAAAATACAAAAATTAGCTGGGTATGGTGGTGGGCACCTGTAGTCCCAGCTACTTGGGAGGCTGAGACAGGAGAATTGCTTGAACTGGGGAGGTGAAGGCTGCAGTGAGCTGAGATTGTACCACTGAACTCCAGCCTGGGAAACAGGAGACTCCATCTCAAAAAAGAAAAAAACATTTACCAAATACTCAGTGCCAACCACTGAAAACATGATGAGCAAAAACAGATATGCTCTGGAAAACAGGTGAGCAGGAGAGGGGCAGAGACTCAATATATCCCTTACATAGATGTGTAAATACATGTAAATAGCCCTTTTGGATACCATGAGAGCCACAGGTAGAGAACATAAGTATAAAAGAATGAAGTTTTTTTGGCCAGCAAATAAACTTGATGCCTATAATCCCAGCACGTTGGGAGGCCAAGACGGGTAGATCACTTGAGACCAGGAGTTCAAGACCAGCCTGGTCAACATGGTGAAACCTCGTCTCTACTAAAAATACAAAAAGTAGCTGGATGTGGTGGTGGATGCCTGTAATCCCAGCTACTCAGAAGGCTGAGGCACAACAATCGCTTGAACGTGGAGGGTAGAGGTTGCACTGAGCTGAGATCGTGCCACCGCACTCCAGCCTGGGCAACAGGCAGGACTCCATCTCAAAAAAAAAAAAAAAAAAAAAAAAAAAAAAAATGGAAGTGGGAGGCTGAGGCGGGACGATGCTTGAGACCAGGAGTTTGAGACCAGACTGGGTAACATAGCAAGACCCTGTTTCTACAAAAATTTAAGAATTAGTCGCCGGGCGCGGTGGCTTACGCCTGTAATCCCAGCACTTTGGGAGGCCGAGGCGGGTGGATCACGACGAGGTCAAGAGATTGAGACCATCCTGGTCAACATGGTGAAACGCCGTCTCTACTAAAAATACAAAAAATTAGCTGGGCATGGTGGCGCGTGCCTGTAATCCTAGCTACTCAGGAGGCTGAGGCAGGAGAATTGCCTGAACCCAGGAGGCGGAGGTTGCGGTGAGCCAAGATTGCACCATTGCACTCCAGCCTGGGTAACGAGGGAAACTCCGTTTCAAAAAAAAAAGAATTAGCCAGGTGTGCACCTATAGTCCCAGCTACTTGGGAGGCTGAGACAAGAGGATGTCGAGTCCAGAAGTCTAAGACCAGCCTGGGCAACACAGCGAGACCCTGTCCCAAAGAAAAAAGAAAATTGCAAAGTGGAGAAAAGATTTGAAAGAATCAAACACTAGGCCGGGCACTGTGACTCATGCTTGTAAATCCCAGCACTTTGGGAGGCTGAGGTGGGTGGGTCGCCTTTGCTCAGGAGTCAAGACAAGCCTGGACAACATGGCAAAATCCTGTCTCTACCAAAACCAAAAAATTAGCTGGGCCTGGTGGTACGTGACTATGGTCCTATACTTGGGAGGCTGAGGTGGGAGGATCTCTTGTGCCTAGGAGGCAGAGGTTGCAATGAGATCATGCTACTGTACTCTAACCTGGGTGACAGTGTGAGACTCTGTCTCAAAAACAATTATTAAAAAAAATCGAGGCAGGAATACAACAGTAACCAAATAAGATAATGAGTTCACATTGTAATAAAAGAGACAAGAAATGAACAAAAGTCCATTAAAACGTCAGGAAAAAACTCAACAGGATGAGTTACCGACTACAAGGGGAGAAGGGATTTGGAGCGGTTAGGAGAGCCCTTTCCGAGAAGATAAGCTGAAACCTGTGCCAAGAGGGGAACAGCCATGCAAATGCCGAGAGGCAGGAAAAAACGAAAGGCCAGTGCAAAGATCGAGAGAGGGAAAGAAGTTGTCTTTCTGGAGAAGCAGTGAAGGACGCCAAGGAGGGTACTGAGAAGAGCAGTACCTTTGAGTGAGTAGGCAGGGACTTTATGCATAGAGTAGGGCCTCAAAGGCGATGGGGTTTTGTTTCTGCTTAGCTAGGAGGCCCCAAGCGAGAGCATCCGTAATGAACACGGGGAAGAGGAAAGCCACTGACTCGCAGGGTGACGGTGGGCAAGTTCCTGAATCTCGCCAACGCTCTTTCATCCCCTGGAAAATGGTTCGCTAACTGCCACATTAAACACCTGCGAGCCGGGCGCGTTGGCTCACGCCTGTAATGCCAGCACTTTGGGAGGCCGAGGCGGGTGGCTCACCTGAGGTCGGGAGTTCGAGGCCAGCCTGACCAATATGGAGAAACCTCGTCTCTACTAAAAATACAAAATTAGCCGGGAGGTGGTGCACACCTATAATCCCAGCGACTCGGAAGGCTGACAGGAGAATCGCTTGAATCCTGGAGGCAGAGACTGCAGTGTGCCAAGATCGTGCCACTGCACTCCAGCCTGGGCAACAGAACGAATCTCTTTCTCAGAAATAAATAAATAAACGGCTGCGAACTGGCCACAGTCAAGGCTTCGAGGCTGCAGCCGCAAGTTTACCTGTCCTCCAGGACCGACTCCATGGGCTCCACCCCGTCGGTGTCCACGGCGCGTAGCCGGTCGGCGAAGGCGATGGCTTTCTCCAGCCGCGCTACTGCCTCCCGGCTGCCGAAGTCCACAAGTGCTAGACGCTCCAGGTGCTCGATCATCTCGGCCGTGATTCGGCCACTGCCCTGGAAGAGGAATGAGGCGGGGACCCGGTGAAGGTGAGTCACCGACGCTCCGGAGCGCTTCCCGGTTTGCTTCGCCACCCACCTAGATGGCCCTGGCCTTTACCTGAAGATCTGTCTTGGAGGTGAAGCCCCGGGGCCCGCCCAGCGGGGCCCGAAGGCCCAGCCACAACGCCCGCGCCCACATTTCTTCCTTCCTTGGCCCCCGTAGCGTGTCCGTGCGTAACGAGCGGCGTAGTGCGTCCGAGCGGCGCGACTCAGTGATGACATCAGAGTGCGCCGCCGTCGCCGCCGTCACCACTATCGCCATGAACAGTGTGGGGGAGGCATGTACCGACATGAAGCGCGAGTACGACCAGTGCTTCAATCGCTGGTTCGCCGAGAAGTTTCTCAAGGGGGACAGTTCCGGGGACCCGTGCACCGATCTCTTCAAGCGCTACCAGCAGTGTGTTCAGGTGAGCCCTCGCGCCTCAGTGCCTAGGCCCCGCGCTCTTCGCGCTGTCTCCGCCACACTCATCATACTTTACGGGGCTTGGGACTGGGAGGTTGGAGAAAAGCTGCAGTGAGACCAGTGGGAGGAACCTTATCCCTTACCATCACCACCGAGGCCACTTGGGTGTCTCTCCGAATGACAAATATTGGTGCAGTGCTTTTCTTTTTAGGAAGCACAGTCGGCCGGGCGCAGTGGCCCACACCTGTAATCCCAGCACTTTGGGAGGCCCAGGTGGGCGGATCATCTGAGGTCGGGAGTTCGAGACCCGCCTGACCAACATGGAGAAACCCCGTCTTTACTAAAAATACAAAATTAGCCGGGCATGGTGACATGCCTGTAATCCCAGCTATTCGGGAGGCTGAGGCAGTAGAATTGCTTGAACCCGGGAGGTGGAGGTTACAGTGAGCCGAAATCGCGCCATTGCACTCCAGCCTGGGCAACAAGAGCGAAACTCCGTCTCAAAAAAAAAAAAAAGACACAGTCACATCCTTCGGTTCATTTGGTGTTCATCCTAAACTTGCAAGGTGGGCATCCTCATTTTTTTTTTTTTTTCTTTTTTTTGAGACGGAGTTTCGCTCTTGTTACCCAGGCTGGAGTGCAATGGCGCGATCTCGGCTCACCGCAACCTCCGTCTCCTGGGTTCAGGCAATTCTCCTGCCTCAGCCTCCTGAGTAGCTGGGATTACAGGCACGCGCCACCATGCCCAGCTAATTTTTTGTATTTTTAGTAGAGACGGGGTTTCACCATGTTGACCAGGATGGTCTCGATCTCTTGACCTCGTGATCTACCCGCCTCGGCCTCCCAAAGCGCTGGGATTACAGGCTTGAGCCACCGCGCCCGGCCGCATCCTCATATTTTATAGATAGAGAACTAACACACAGAAGTAGGAAGTGATTGGTCCTGGTTCACTAGAATCAGGTTTCCTTGATTCTTTCGCAGGTGGTGCACTTTTCCACTATTACTGCTGGAGTCTCGGCGGGGTTATACTTCAGACTGGAGGATCACATTGTTTTGTCGTTATAAACCCTTCGATAGTTTCTCTCTCTCTACCAGTACCCCCAACTGCAGATAGGAAATGGTCATTCTAGCCTAATGGATGTGGAACTGCTTTGAACTGTAAGAACAGCACTGGGCAAAAGCACTTCCAATAAGTTAACCTCATACATCCTCACGGTAGTTCCCCGAGGTAGTCGCTGTCTTTATCCCATTTATAGTTGAGGGAAGCGAGGGTGGCTCATAGCTAGTAAGTCCTGGAACTCAGATTTTAACCTGAGTCTTTCAGTAACAGAAAGTGATACCATTTTTCAAACTTCACTTAATTTTAACGGTTCCCTCACAACTCCTTTTCCAGTCTCCCTCAGGTCTTAACGCTTGATTTATTCATTATGGTACTTCCGGTTTTTATTTATTTATTTTTGAGGCAGAGTTTCGCTCTGTTGCCCATGCTGGAGTGCAGTGGCATGATCTCAGTTCAGTGCAGCCTCTGCCACCTGGGTTCAAGCTATTCTCTAGCCTCAGCCACCTGAGTAGCTGGGATTACAGGAATGCGGCACCATGCCCAGCTAATTTTTGTATTTTTAGTAGAGACGGGGTTTCACAATGTTGGCCAGGCTGGTCTCTAACTTCTGGCCTCAAGGGATCCACCTGCCTCTGTCTCCCAAAATGTTGCAATTACAGGTGTGAGCCACCATGCCCGACCAGTACTTGTTTTTTAAAAAGTATGTAGTTTGAATAATGGTTATGAATCTTTATAGTCAGCTTGACTTTACTTTTGTGCTGTCATATTTTATTTACAAAGCTTGCAACTCAAGCTTCATATAGGTCTTCAAAATGTGTTTTCTCCTCTTACCAGAAAGCAATAAAGGAGAAAGAGATTCCTATTGAAGGACTGGAATTCATGGGCCATGGCAAAGAAAAGCCTGAAAATTCTTCTTGACCTTGATAGTCACCATGAAGGAGTCCTCAAGTCCAGAAATTGAGAACTCTGGATTTTTGTCACTTGAATCTGTGAAGATAGCCATCAGATTTGATGAGGAACTGAGGCGAGAGGAGTTTTATTTCCTCCTTCGATGTTTTCCTCTCAATTGTAAAAGATGATGAACTCTTTTGAGATTATTTTTCACCTGCTCAGGCATCTTGCAGGAACTCAGTGTGCTAAAATTGAACAATTTTTTGAAATTATGGTTGCAATACTTGGTCTGGAATCAACTTCACATAAATATACCTTGTATGCAAATAATGATAAACTAGTTAGAATGAGCAGAGGTGCCTGACCTCTTGATTTCTGCTGCAAAGGACATTATATGCACTGTACTGGGGTCATTGTTCATAAAAGCAATTGGTTAGGGCCTCTTTTTTCTCTCAGGGAACTAATGCTCTGAAAAGGGATCTGGGCACAAGAATTTCAGGAAGTGCTTTTGAGCACACTTTTATTTTTATATGGTGACCAGTGGTTAAGATTGCTGGTGGCCTGGATTAGCAAAGAGGAAGACAACTTTTAACACAGTTCCCTGCCTTCACAAGAGGTGTCAGATTAAGATGTGTAAGCTACAAGAATGTTGCAGTGAACACCATTTCAGAGCTCTCAGTGCTGTCTTAATTCTTAGTTCAGGAATTAAGATACTTGGAATAGCTGTGGAGGAAGAACCTAAATTGCAAAGGTCTGCTGTTGCCAGCTATTAACCCAAGTCAGTGAATTGTCAACTGCATATCCTAAAAATGTCAAAATGCTGCATCTGGTTAAATGGGGTGGGAAGCTGAAGGTGCTTGCTTTATTTGCCTTGTACTCATCCTGCCCTATAATGTCTGTAATCATGAAGATGGAATAAATTGTAACATTTTCTATCATTATATGCCTCTGGAACTCAGTGCATTTTACGGAACTATTACCCTGTTATCCTACAAACCTCATATATACACAGGGAGTTTTGTGTTTTGTTAAAGGTGAGGGAAAAGTGACTTGTCTAAGCTAGGTGGTACTATATGGCCATCAGAAACCTCACTGTTTTTGAGACAGTCTCACTCTGTCACCCAGGTTGGAGTGCAGTGGCGCAATCTCAGCTTACTGTAACATCCACCTCCCGGGTTCAAATGATTCTCCTGCCTCAGCCTCCCGAGTAGCTGGGATTACAGGCGTACACCACAATGCTTGGCTAATTTTTGTATTCTTAGTAGAGACAGGGTTTCACCATGTAGGCCTGGCTGGTCTTGATCTCCTGACCTCAGGTGATCTGCCCGCCTCCGCCTCCCAAAGTGCTGGAATTACAGGCATGAGCCACCACACCCAGCCAAAACCTCACTATTTCTAAAATTTATTGCCACAATGGGCTACACAAATATATTATGGTACCAAAAATCAGGCTCAGAAGATAACTTGTGGACTTTAGAACATCACGTAATCCCCACAATTGTGTAATTTAATTTTATTATATGCCCCAAAATAGTATGAAGGTTGAATTACAGGCCGGGTATGGTGGCTTATGCCTGTAATCGTAACACTTTGGGACACCGAGGTGGGTGGATCACTTGAGCTCAGGAATTCGAGACCAGCTTGGGCAACATGGCGAAACCCCATCGCTACAAAAAAATTAGCCAGGTATGGTGGTGTGTGCCTGCAGTCCCAGCTACTTGAAAGGCTGAGATGGGAGACTCACCTGAGCCTGGGAGGTGGAGACTGCAGTAAGCTGTGATTGCACCGCTGCACTCCAGCTTGGGTGATAGAGCAAGACCGTCTGAAAAATAAACTTGATTTATAGAAGGCCCTAATTCTATTGTCTTTTCTCCACTTTACCAATTGCTACATCATATTTAATGTGACTTGACTTTAGACATCATTTCAAAACATTCTTCATTTATATTTTATGACTGGCTAGGGTCCGTTATCCAAGGATTACAAAAGATGTTTGGAACCCAGCCAAGTGAGGCCAGGCGGCAAGCTGAAGTACATATAATACATCTATCTTAAACTTAGACTGGCTTCAAGCAAAACAGCTCTATAGGGACTCAGAAGTGCAGGCTGTTATATCACAAAATAGCAAAGATAATGAAATTCTCTATTCTGTACTGTATATACCTTACCTTTGCATTACCAGTTTAATGTAATATACTATGAAATACCTCATTGCCTCTTGAACCTTACCACAGGTGTTCCTTTGAGCCTTAAGAATAAACCAGCTCTGGCCAGGCACACTGGCTCACGCCTGTAATCAGGTCTTTGGGAGGCCAAGGCAGGCAGATCACCTGAGGTTAGGAGTTCAAGACCAGCCTGGCCAACATGGCAAAACCTCATCTCTACTAAATATACAAAAAAAAGTAGCCAGGCATGGTAGTGCACGCCTGTAGTCCCAGCTATTCAGGGGGCTGAGGCAGAAGCGCTTCAACTCAGGAAAAGGAGGTTGCAGTAAGCTGAGATTGTGCCACTGCACTATGGCCAGCATGACAGAAAGACTCCATCTAACAAAAAGTGGTTTAAAAAAAAATTTTTTTTTTGAGAGAGTCTCATTCTGTTGCCAGGTTGGAGTGCAGTGGCGCAATCTCAGCTCACTGCAACTTCCACTTCTCAGGTTCAAGTGGTTTTCCTGGCCCAGTCTCCCAAGTAGCTGGGACTACAGGCACGCGCCACCATGCCCAGCTAATTTTTATATTTTTAGTAGAGATGGGGTTTCACTATGTTGGCCAGAATGGTCTCCATCTCTTGACCTCATGATCTGCCCACCTGGGCCTCCCAAAAAGGTTTTAAATTTTGA